CAAATGAATTTTTAAAAATGGTAAAAAATTAGAGTATGTTGTGAGCATGTAAAATATAATGAACATTGTTTAGTTCATGAGAAACAATAAATATTGTGAAGTATCAGTCATTATTTCAAATATTTAATATTCCTCCTCATAATTCTAATCAGTGATTTTTTTTCATGTACAAAGAGAAAAAGTCCAACTTTCTTGAAAGAAGTAATTGTTGGGAAATGTTAGGTTTTATATGAAAACAAGCTATCAGAAACTGTTTTCATCGAATCCCTGATATTCTTTTCTTAGGTTTAATGTGTAATATAAAGCTCACTGGAAAAAAAAAGCAGCCTCTCATTTATTAACTATCTCTAGGCAACTACTTACTTAAACTATTGAATGATAGAATTTTTAAGATAAATAATTACAGTGATTTCTGATGATTGAGAATTATATAATTGTAGCCATATATTTATATTTAAAATATAGGGTAAAAAAAACCAGTTTGTATTCACATGTAATTATACTGTGATATGTACTGGAACCCATAAACTATGGTATACTTTAAGTTGTATTGCAAAATTTAGCAAATTAATCAATAACTAAGAATCTTACCCAATTAAATTATTATAAACCACATGGCAAAACAACTGCTAACCCAGAAGATAGAAAACAGATATGAAGAATGTATAATAAGTGTTTGGGGGATATGGAATTTATCTCCTGAGTGTTGTAAGGATCTCATAATTTCATAGTGCCAAAGCCCAAGTGTGTTATGAGGACCTTTCCTCAAAAGTGACATTAATTACATACCCCAGAAATGCTTATTATGTATTCTATTAATACCAAAGTGTAAAAGCAGTCAAAAGTTTACAGACTGAATATATTTAAAGGTGATAATAAAAGAGTCATTCAGGCCTAGCAAAAATTGTTAACTTAAACTTCAATTTTTAGTTTCATTATTAAAGAATATTGTAATTGTATTAGTGCAAATAGTACTGAATCTTCCTATGAATGTGCTGCCTTTGGGATTGACATGATAAAACTGTAATGCAAATATTTTTGATGCTTTTGCACAAACAACCCACAAGTGATGATATCACAGGACCTTATTTTCACAATAAAAATAAAAATACCACAAAAATAACTCTTAAAATTACCTTGGAAAGTCATAAAAAATAAGTCAATGTTTTTCTTTGGAAATTACTATGCATTGACAGGCACTTAATTTTTAAAAATGTCAAATACAAATCAATAACTGGCAAACAAAAGCCAACTCAGATGCTAATTTCTTGAATTAAAACACAAGAAACTGCATTCCAAGTGCAGCAGCAGTAATCTTTCATAAAATTAATGAAATACATGGTGAAAATTACTTTTAGAATGTATTATTTGATAATACCACTATGCTTAACATTTAATTTCAGATTTATTCTTCTTAACCTAAAATAGAAATTCGATTTATCATTGGCTAACAACAACAGAATTTAAACTATTCAGAAGATAATAAATAACAGCATTAATAAGCAAGATTTTAGGTAACACAGGATTTCATGGGTACTTTTCCCTATATTTGAAGATAAATATCATCAATTGAACTAGAATTAAGTTAATTTAAAACAGTGTTAGCCAGTGTCAGTGGAATTAGTATTTTTACACTAATCATTAATTAATTTTGGTAAGTTCATTTGCTTAAAGCTGCAGATATGTTTAGATATGGTATGTTGCCCATTTAAGGAGACTTAGAAATATATTATCTAACAAAAATTATTTTAAAAAATGAAGTAATTACATATTTCCTTAATTACAATTATAACTTACGATATAGACAAATGATTTTTATTGTATCATATAATTGCTAAGGACTGAGTAAAATTAGATAAGTGCACAAATATATTGGTGTCTTTGTATCACCATTATCCCATCATAAACATATGTCTGACTTACTCCTCATTTTATAAAGGTTATTGGTACTGGTAACATTTTGCATTGGCTCATCATTGACATTTTTACCAAATTATTTTCTAATTTTGAATTAAATCAAGAGAAATTTTATTCTTTGTAAAATGCTGAAACGTTTTATAGGAAACTATTTTGTTTGAAAATAAAAATTCTGTAAAGGAACTGTTAAGCAAAAATACATTTTAGATGACCCAATATAAATTATGGTATCATTTTGACATGAGCTGTTTTTATTAATTGAGAACTGATTATTTCTCAGATCATGGATTGAATTTTTGGTGCCGATTTTGAATGTAAAACTAAATCAACTTTCTTCCAACAGGAATAGTCAGTAGAATGAGCAATTGTTTAAAGTAATAACACCTATATGACAATAGAACAAAACAGTCTCACTTCATTTTCATGATACAAAACTACAATATTTATTAATTTCAAGGACATAAAATTATTGTACAAATTGTTATGATCATTTCCAGAAGTTTACTCTCAACTTCTGTACTACCTCTTTAAAAAGCTCTAAAAGACACCTATTACATGTTTCTAGTAAGTGGGAACCCACATGTTTTAGTGAAGAAAGTAAAGAAAAGTCTAAGAGTTTGAAGGGTGCATGAATCACAGTATGTCATATTTACATAGACATAATAACCTAATTAAGGACTGGTAATGACAGATAATGCTAAAAAGGTACTTTCACACATATATTGAATGTTTAGTATATACTGAGAACTAAGCCTTTTGTATATTATGCTTTTATTCTCATAGTACATTGTAAAGTAAATACTATTATTCTGAATCTCCACAGATGAAAAACAAAGGCTCAAAGCGATAGGAGTGTTTCATTTCAAAGTCTGTTTCCAACTGTTATTTTGTACTATTTTTTGACCCCAAAGTTACTAACAGTCATCAATAAACATACACAGGTGGGTAGACATTTTAGGAGAGCATGCAGGGATATAAGATTATTCAAGCACTTTGACCTTTCATGTACCTCACAAATAATAGTAATAAAATCAAATTAATTAGTGAAATGGATCAGTGAAATTCTTGAACTATAAAATGAAGTACTCATCAAATTCAAACAATGAGTGACCTCTTCTATATAAATATTTAAAGGTAATATAGATGAGGTTCTATAAATAATGGAATAAATGAGGAAGCTATGGTTATTACAAGCCTTTATATTGTTATTATCACTAATAATGTTGAAAAAATTCAGAGAAATTATGTCATGGACCACACGATTTTACTGGGAAAATACCAGCCAGGATATTGAAGGAGCTCTGTGAATTATTATGTCGAAGAGGAAACTGAAGGAGATTAATGTCTGCTGAAGGAAAGTGGAATACCCTGGTTATAAATTTTTGTCCTGAAGCCCACTTCATCACCACTGCAACATAAAGCACTAGCACAGGAAAAGAGGCAGGAAATTATAAAGAATTTCAAAGAAAGGAGAAACATGTATATCACTAATTTCTTTCCCCAATTTAAAGACCAGTTTTTAGATCTCAGTAAACAGCATTTTGAGGATGTCAAGTGGGATTTATATTTGAATATGTTAATTCTTTGAGTGCACAATGGAATATAGAATTTGAATCCTTGTCACTAGCTATTTCAAAATACAGTTTTAGGTCCATGATCAAAAATGCATTAAGCTAGATCTATATGCTAATACATTTTTTACATTAGACCTATATGTTTAAGTAGCAATTCATTAATAGCCTAAAATGTTGCCTAACACCTATGTCACACACAACTTTCTCATTTCTAGTGGGAATGCTGCTCTTAATGATGAGGTTAACACACACACAAATATGAGCATGATTAAAACAGGAAAGAAGACTTCTTCGATCACAGTTCATGGCTTCCAGAGAAGAAAAACAGCTGAGAATTATTCTTAGTGAAAGATTCCATGCAACATGACAACATATTAACAACTCACCAATTCTTTTCTCTGGGCTAAAAAAAAAAAAAAATCCCAAAACAGCTTCCTCTAATTCTAAACTTTTGACTCATTTGAGATTCTTTGTAATACAAATAAAAAAAATCCATATTTATTAAACCTCTATTATGTACATCTCAATAATACCTTAATTTTTTGATATTCTACTAATGGAGAGTTAGACTTTATAAAAATAACTGTCAAGAGACTACTCAGTACTACATATAAATGTTCTATTATTTCAATAAAGTGGACTCTTGTCTGTAGCATCTTATAACTCAGATTTATTAAAACCACTCTTATTTTTTAAAAAACAATCTTACTGTATTTTTTATGCATTTATTTTATTTATTTTTATGTGCTAAGGATCAAACCCAGCGCCTCACGCATGGTAGGCAAGCACTCTAACACTGAGCTACAACCACAGCCCAAAACCACTATTTGCAAATTTAACTATATACTTTACAAGCTACTGAAAAAATACAAACACCCTTTCTTTCAAGTGGTTCCCTATTCTTCTGCTACAGCATGTTATGAAGTTATGTGGCTAAAGAAAATTAATACATTATGTTCAATGCAAAGGAAATCTATTTTATTAACATCACTTCTGAAGGTAGAGCAAAAGATGACCACATGATAAAATGGAAAGAGTAAGAACATCTTATAGGACTGTTTGGTTCAGGGATCAGCTTTGTGTGTGTATGACCTGCACAACCCTGTACTTCTTAAGAATGCTTCATTTAATGATCTACTATATCCATCTTGAAATTCTTATTTCTCAAAAGCATTTTGACATTCTTCTTTTGCCTAGGGCTCTGTAGCAAATTATGTAGTCAATCCTGCCTAGGTCTGAATTATAACTTCATTGTTTACTATGTAAAGTTAGACTAAGTCTTAGCTTCTTCATCTGTAAGAATAGGGAGATACTCAATTCACAAGGTTTGTGAGAATATTAGATGATACACCATACGTGAAAGTAATGGGCATAAAGCACATAACAACCAGGGGAGATGAAATAAAACAGAGATGGAGCAGTTCCTGCTTCTACTTCTAGGGATTTGAGACATAGAAATTACCACAAATCATAATTATTTGTAGCTAAAACTAAAACTTTAATACTTACAATCCATATATCTGTGGTGCAATTTCCAGTCTGTTTAAGTGCATGTAGAGCTCAATATCATGCTTCTTCAGTAGATGATCCTGGATCTGATTGACTTTAGTAACAATAGCAACTGTTGGTCCTAAATCCTGTGGCCGGGCAAAGGGGATGGGAGGCATCAGAGTTTCTTTCCCCTAGATAGGAATAATGGGACATATATTATTTCAATATGAAAAGAATATCATTCTTCAATTTCTTTACCAAAGAGAGTTTAAACAAGAAATAAAAACTGCTAATAATTATCTCTTGACAAATGCTAAAATATGGAACCATATGATGACATTCAGATGATTTTGTTCATTAAACACTGGCCAGGAAATGCCTTCTAAAATATTTGTTGCATATATTTCCTTGCCCAGTTTCTCTTGTGACAAAGTTTTACAAGATAAGTTTGTCTAGAAGTGGTGATAGCCACTACAAAGTATCTATGGCCAGTTTATGTGATGCTACAGAATGTAAATGGAATGAGATGGAAACTCATTTTTGTGTGAGGCATGATATTCAAACATAAAAAACAGTAAATGAAAACTCTTTTACTTTGAGCTCTCAAAGCTATATAAAATAGGGTAGAGAGAGATTCTATTTTTTATATATATATATATATATGAAATGTTTAAATTGCCTTTGTATGTCTGTCAATTTTATTAAGGGTATGTTTTAGATTCCCAGGTCCAATCTTATTTTGTAAGTATGTTAATTTTTTAATATATGTTCATATTTTATATATTGTAATAAAAATGACTTATTATGTACTATTCCCTGCTATATGTTGTTACTGAAATCATTTCTTCACTCAAATATACTGAAAAGATCTGTTCTATTATGTTTACCTTTTTTTTTTTTAAATACACACATTTTTTAGTTGTGGATGAACCTTTACTTTTTTATTTATTTATATGCAGTGCTGAGAATTGAACCCAGTGCCTCACACATAATAGGCATGCACTCAACCACTGAGCCATAACCCACGCCCCTTATAATATTTACCTTTTGACCATCATGCTCAAAAGTGGAAAACCAAGGCTCAGCAGTTTCCATCAGTTGTGAGAACATTGCACTAAAAGTAGAAAAATAAAATAATGTTATGGTTTATCCTCAATAAAGTAATAATAGCATAAAAGAAGAAAAATAATAGTTTTTATACTTACTAGGCATCATGTTCCAGATACTCGGGGTTCAAGAGGGTTTTCATTTCCTCGCTTTAAAAAGTAATACAAGCAATCACAATGTGCACTTTTTCCAATAACTGAAGAGGATACAGAGTTTGTCTTATTCGACATTTATAAGACAACTTTCATATAATGAATAAATGAGAAAAATTAGCCTTTTTAATAAAAAGAGCAACTCCATTAACAAATAAAATCCTTTCTTTCTATAAAGATCAAAAACAAATAAGCTGCCTTGTTGGTGCCACAATAAAGTAGCTATCTAATTATTCTAAGCAACAAATAAAGAAAGTGACAATATTTTCTTTGACTATGTTTGATCTAGAATAATTTATAACTCTATGATGTATCACTTGTCATCTAAAACCAAACAAAACATATAGTTACTGATTCAATATGCAATATCAAGACATTCATTTATTTTCTTTTAATGGCCATATTATTTGAACATCAATTAATCAGTGATAACATCTTTTACAAATTTACTTCAGTATTGCTTTACTTAGTAATGAAATCAAAAGACTGAAGAACCATGTTCTACTAATTTTAAAGCTACATTCAATCATCTCTACTTTCCTTTATATTCTCTGTGTACATTTTCAAAAATAAAAGTGGCATGAAAACTGGTTTACAACACAAACTGCAACCTGATATTTTAGAATAATTGAAGTGATGGTAGTATAGATATCTTACTCTTGTCAAGATCCAATAAACTCAATAAAATCAGAAAAATTTAGAGGAAACTTGAAAATGCTAATTTTATAGCATAGTAGACAAAAGTTAATTCACAGGGCTGTACATATTCTTAATAAATTGAACAGCTTACATCTGAACATTAAACATTACACAATTAAGATATATGAGATGTTATCTGCCAGTATTTTGTCTCCTGCATATTGGTGGGCTAGCTTATGGACTGCCTGACAAGGCCTTACAATCATACAGCTCTCTGTTCCCAAAATGCTTCTTGGTTGCTTTTCTGGCCCATCAGTTGGGGTAGCTTATTTTAAAAAATGAATTTTAATAATTACCTTAGTTAAATCCAATTACAAACATCATCTGCAGCTGGGCATGGTGGCACACACCTGTAATCCCAGCTACCTGGGAGGCTAAAGCAGGATGGTGGCAAGTTCAAGGCCAGCCTCAACAACAAAGTGAAACCTTGTCTCAAAACATGAAATAAAAAAGGGCTGGGAATGTAGCTCAGTGATGGACCACCCCACTGAGTTCAATCCCCACTACATACACTTATACAAAGTAGACTCTCTCAACAACCTGAGAACCCATTTGATTTATTTACAGACTGAGATTCTTAAAAGTACTGTTCTTTTATTTATGAATTAAGCCGAGTCAAAGCTGGTAAGGAGAAAGTATGTAATAAAGATATCATTCAGTTCACAATGAAAAATGAGTCATCAGAATACATATGAGTATTATCAATCATTAGCACTTTTGTCAGTAAAACAAACATTTTTTCTTGACCCATCATTTATATGTCTTCCTTTGAAACATACTAAAATTTTCAAAGACACAACTGCAAATCTGCCCCACAGCTAACCTGGCATTACAACTATTAACTGGAATTACAACTAGCCATATAAAATTACAAATGTTTACAACTTAACAAAATTTACAAGTACCTTTAATTTAAAAGATTTTGAAGCTAAAAAAGTAAAGGCTATAGTAAGTATGAGTAAGGAACTCATTAAAAACTTGCCTTGGCTGTGCAGACTCACTGGCATGTAGAAAAGCTTGGTGGTCACAATGAAGGATGAAGACTATGGGGGCTAATAGCTCGTGCATACCCTGAAACACAAGATCAAGAGAAATGAATGAGGATAGTGAAAGGCCATTAGTGGACAGTATAAGCTGAGTAATGTTAAAGATCTTCATATTATACAGAAAAGCGTAAAAATGGAAAGGTACAAAATGAGATTTTTACCTACATTTAGTATTTGATCCCAATTCAACCACAGCACCTATTCTTCCTTAAAACATGGATAGCAGTTCTCTTTTAAAATAACATGACAAACAATAAATTGGCATGGTAGACAACCTTGCACCTGTCAGTTGCTTCAAGATCTGTACTCATAAATTATGAATTTCATTTATGCAAATTATAATCATGAGCTACAGTGTAAAGATCTGCAGTAAGAAGGGCAACTAAGAACTGTAGACCTAAGAAAATTACATCCAATGTTTTCATTATATAATGGCTCAAAATTAGGATGTCCGTAGACTGAGGAAGAGCTAAAGTCAGCTAGCTAAAAGTGGTAGAAAATTTAAAACAACAACAACAAAACTTCAGAAAGTATGATAGAAAAAGTTTTTCAAATATGATTTTCAACATATTTAATCAGAAAACTATTATAGGTTTCTTTTCTACTTAAACTAGGGTCATTTTCAAATTATTTAATGAGTTCACTAAAATAGTATTTTCCCTTGTAAGGGAGGTTCAACTGACAGTTACACAAATAGGCAAAGAAACAAAAAGGCATCGTGTTAGTTACTAAACCGTCTTTTAAAAGTTACTCTAAAATTCCACTATTTGTTCATTACTTAGGGACATAAGTAGTGACAAGCTTTGTTCATTTAGATTTTTCCTCTTTAAGCACAAAATACCATATTCTAGCAAGCTAAAACAGATTATTGTCCTTCCAGCCTCTTAATTGAAGCATATTTCTACTTTCCTTTTGCTTAGTAACAAGGATGCTCTTCTATAAAAAGACAAGACAAAATATCACCTTTAGAGGAAAAATAAGTAAAATATAAGAGAGCAAAGAGGAGAGAACAACTTTGCTAGTAGAATTAGAGGTAGCTTCCTGGAAGGAAGGACAGGGTAACACAGATAACTGTGCAGTCACTAGTATTGTGCTAGTCTTAGGAAGTCAGTTGTCATTTCATTTCTAACTTGTCAGTAGTCTTGAATTACAATTATTTAATGATATTTTGACAGTATAACTTATAATCCATTGACAATAGATGTTTCATTTAAATTACCAAATGACTTTCTTGGTCAACATTTATTCATTTAACAAACCTTGGAATGAATGTGCTCTCGAAGAACATGGTAGATGACAAGAGATGAAATCAAGTGAGCTAATTGGGCTTTAAAAGTCGCCATAAGGAGTTAATTTTCTTGAAATTGTATTATTACTTCAAAAAGAAAGTGCCCAAATTTTGTCAATAATGGGGATTAAACCTAGGGCTGCTCTACCACTGAACTACATCCCTGGTCCTTTTTAGTTTTTGAGGCCAGGTCTCCCTAAGTTGCCAAAGCTGGCCTTGAATTTATGATTCTCCTGCCTCAACCTCCCGAGTAGCAGGGATTACAGATGTGTGCCACTGCACATAGCTTATGTGTCATAATTTTAATAATCAAAGGAGTAGCATTCAAAGTAGAAAACTACAGAAAAGCAAAACAAGAATGAAGTCAAGCAGAAGGAAACAAAGAAACTACAAACTTTAATGGATAGCCTTATGGTAACATTTTAGCATATTTCTGATGTTTTCCTTAGAATATAGTTTTCAGAAGTACAATTTCTGGGTAGAAACATTTGTTAAAATCCCTGATGTATACTATTAGACAGCTCTCCACAAAGAATTCCCTCACTGCACAATATTAAAGTCACCATCTACATTCTTTTTTAAAAATTGTGTAAAATTTCAAGAATTGTTGTAATTATATATGTGAAAGCCAGTGAGACTAAACATCTTACTACCATTTTTAATTAATTATTTTGTCCTAATTATTGTTTCCTTTTCCCTAATGATTTGTAACAGTTCTTTACCAATTAAACCTATTAATGCTTGTCAATTTTGTTAGAAATATTTCCCATATTTATCATTTGTCTTTTAATTTTGATATCTTATGTCATACTGAAGTTATACATTTTAGTAGTTAATACAATAAATCATCCATCATGGGTTGTGTTTTTCGTTTTTTTTTTTTTAATGCCTAAAAAGACTTCCCTCATATTGAGATTAGGTAAGAATATAGTTTTCCCCCAACCCCAGTAAATTCTCCACTCACCTGATATTAGTATAATTTCTGCCATAAAAATATAACTTTCTTCTTCAAAAAAAGTAAAATTTACTGAATAATTAACATCTTCAATAAATTTAATCTATTCAATAAGTTGAACAGCCCATCTTCTCTATGCTTTCCAAAATGCCATCTTTACCCTAACCTGAATGTTAGTTCACAATTTTTCTGGATATTTTTTTTAACTTGTATTCCAATGGCTTGTATATTCCTGAAAAAACTGCACTATTATCCAAAATACTTGAGTCCATCCATTTTCTTTGTCCCCCCCCCCCTTTTTTTTTTGGTTAAAATTATCTTGCTAATTCTAACTTCACTTTTTCTTCCAGGTTCATTGTATCACTTAGACACATAAAATGCTAAAACAAAGACTGGAATTTTTTTTTTTTTTTTTACATTACGTGTAGAATTAACTTGAAATAGATATTTTTAAGAACACCAGATTTTCCAATTCAAAATTGTGTAAAACTCATGATTAAACTTCATATTTCATAGGTTTACTACTAGCTATGTTTCTTTGTTTTGGGTGGTAGTCTTCAAATAGGTCTTTCAGTATGTTTTCTAACTGATGTGGCTGGGTTAAGGAGGAATTACTTTTATATAATTGAATATTCCTGCCTTTTTAAGATGTTCTCTTTCCTCTAGTTTCTGTGACAGTACTCTCTCTAGATGCTCCATTGTTCAACTATCATTCATCATTCACTTATCCCAGTAACTAATAAATGCCTACATGTGCTATGGAAACAAAGTGAATAAAGTGGGACAGTTTCTAAACTTAATAGAGCTTGCAGTCTAAAGAAAAGACTACACAGTTATAAAGAATAAGAAGTGATGTATGTTTGTGTGTGTATTCAAAGATGTGTGTATATATTAATACATACAGTTGGCTCTCTGTATCCAGGGGCCCTGCATCTGTGAATTCCACTAACTGGTGATAGAAAATATTAGAAAAATAGGAAAAAAATCCCACCACATTTATATTATTCATATAGACTTTCTTCTCATTATTCCTTAAACTACACAGTTTAACAACCATTTACATGGTTCTTACACTGTATAAGAAACTACATGTGATCTAGAGATGATTTAAAGTACATGGGAGGACGTGTGTTAGGTTATGTGCAAATACTACAACATTTTATATAAGGAACATGAGCATTCCTGGATTTTGGTACCCATAGAAGGGTCCTGAGACCATTTCTCCAAGGACACTGGAGGAAGACTATATACATAAACCTAGATCCGACCACAAGTTCAGCACGAACAAGGTGTTCATTATACTTTGACTAAATGAAATACCCATCACTTAATGTATCAATGCATTAAAAAAGCTAAAATACAATATGAAAATAGAAAATAGTAGTAAACCATAGCTCAAATCAATAAAAAGGCAGTTCTTGGCAAAATGAAAATGACTGACTTCTCTGAATATTATTCAATGTTTTTTAAGTTCAGATTTGAATTTTACCTAAATTAGGGGGCTAAAAATAAATGGAAGACTATTGATTTTGTTCTCAATTTAGACTAGTAAAGCCTGAATAATAATTTCAAGTGGGCTAGCAAAGTAGCACTGAGGTTCAGCACTTAGCCAGCATGTGCAAGGATCTGAGTTCAATCTCCAGCATTGGAAAAAATAAAAAAATTTACATGTGGCAAGTGTGTGGGGTTTTTTTTTGGTGTGTGTATACACACACACACACACACACACACATATCTTCAAAAGAATAGATAATCAAAAGGCATAATCATGAATTCAACATTTTATAAATTTGACGAAGCACAATTAAAAATGTATTCTCAGTATACTTTGGTTCCCAAAGTTCTATTTCTATCTACATTATCAGCATTTCTCCTTGCTTAAAGCCTTTATCCCTGTTAGCTCGTTAGCAGTCACTGCACTTCAAACTCAATGCTAGCTGAAAATAAAGGTAACAAAGTTTTCTTCATCAACAGCCCGTAGGCTCACAAAATTAAACCTGTTCTTTTATCTGCCTGTGTTCATTTAGCCCACCAAGCAGTCTTTATTAAAGCTGAGGCATCAGGCAGTCAAAGTTCATTAATACCATTTATATAATCTCCGCAGTTTCAATTAACTCAGCAAGACATTCTACTACATGATAACAGTCTCATTAATTCAATAAAATCCCATAACTATTAACAATATGGTCGATGTTAAACGGGGTGTCACCTAGTACAAAATAATAGCTTTAACAGCTTGTGATGAAACTCAAGGTTTTTTCTTAAATTTGATCTGGCTAAATGTTCAGTCCTTCTACAACAAGGTATTATTTCTCTGTAAAGAATCTATAGGATTTTAAACATGTACAGGGAGTAATTAAGTCTTTTAAAGTGAGACCCAAGAGTGAGCTAATAATACTTTCTCTTAATCAGTAACTGATAGACTTTACCTGTTACCAAGAATTTGATCTCCATATTCCTGTAGTCTTCAAACAAATGCAGTGGTCTACATATATCACAAATGGTGGAATGTGATGTTGTGTATTTTTTTTCCTTATCCATGAAACTTATTTCTATTTTATTAGATTTTCTTAATCTACTTTTATTCTTTCTTTAAAGAAAAACAGAAAACAAATGTGTAACCTGGGATAATTTAATCTAACTTGATACACTATCAATACATCTATTACTGTGAGATATTTTTGAATTGGAAAGAGAAGCCAGAACAATGAGGAAATAGGTTTAACAACAAAAGCCAGCACAATAAGAGCAGAAAAACAAAAAAATTCTGAAGCCTTGAAGACTTTGGACTTTGGACTAATGTGTGTCAACAATACCCTTATGGATTAAGCCATTTTGAATAGAGCTTCTGTTATTTTTCAATTCCCATTCTTTTTTTGGGGGGGAGGGGGAGTTCTTTTCTGTTTGTTTTAATTTTTTTCACCTTTTGACTTTGTACTCAACTTTAGATAGTCTACCACCTTCCTTTTTTTTTGCTTTTATTTATTTTTATTGGTTGTTCAAAACATTACAAAGCTCTTGACATATCATCTTTCATACATTAGATTCAAGTGGGTTATGAACTCCCATTTTTACCCCAAATAAAGATTGCAGAATCACATCAGTTACACATCCACATTTTTACATAATGCCATATTAGTAACTGTTGTATTCTGCTACCTTTCCTATCCCCTACTATCCCCCCCTCCCCTCCCATCCCTCCCATCTTCTCTCTCTACCCCATCTGCTGTAATTCAATTCTCTCCCTTGTTTTTTTTTTCCCCTTTCCCCTCACAACCTCTTATATGTAATTTTGTGTAACAGTGAGGGTCTCCTTCCAAATTAGTGGGAGGAAAAGGGAGAGAGAAGGAAAATTGCATGGAAAGCCTACCACCTTTCAAAGACATTTCCTTCCCTGAGATTATATAAAAGTTTTCTAAATCTTTTCCTACTATTTTCACATACTTTTAGTTTTCATATTTATATATTCCATCAAAAAATTATTATTCAATAAAGGTATAACTTTCTTTGTCCTAGATGGAAAGTTAAATACAGCAAATCTGTTTCCTTTTCCTTAATTGAAATCTCATATATATTATATCTAGTTGGCTCCTAGGTTGTTCCACTCATTTGTTGGTTGATTTTTGTAATATCACAGAATTAGATTGATTAAAGTGCAGCAGATTGAACCCTGAGCATGTACAATTATCACAGAAATATTATCCAGTCTCTAGCCAGTTTTATAGAAATTTTGGAGAAAACGTGAAGAAAGGAACTCCTTACATATTGTTGGTAGAAATGTAAATGAGTACAACAATTATGGAAAACTATGTGGAGGTTCCTCAATTAAAAATGAATCTATCAGGGGCTGGGGTTGTGGCTCAGGGGCAGAGAGCTCACCTCACACATGCGAGACCTTAGGTTCAATCCTTAACACTACATAAAAATAAATTAATAAAACATAGGTATTGTGTCCAACTACAAGTAAAAAATAAACATTAAAAAAACCGGATCTATCATGTGATACACTGATCCCACTGCTGGGTATATATCCAAAAGAAATGAACTCAGTATATTGAAGATACATCAGCACTTCCATGTTCATTGCAGCACTAATCACAATAAATGGAAACAACTTAAGTGTCCATTAAGGGATGAATGAAGAAAGAAAATGTCGGGTCCATATACAAAGTGGAATACTATTTGGCTATTAAAATGATGAAATTCTGTCATTGCAACAACATAGAAATAAAGTCACTATGTTAAATGAAATATTTCAGGTACAGAAATATAAGTACCACATAATCTTACTTATGTAGAATCTAAAAAAGTCAGTCTCATAGAAGTTGAGAACGAATGGTGGTAACCAAAGGCTAGGGAGAGTAGTAGGGTAAAAAGGACACAGAAAAAGGTTGGTCAGTGGGCACTAAGTACCATTTAAATAGGAGAGCTATGCTCTGGTATTCTATTTTATAGTAGGAAGACTAAACATTACCTGGTACCCAACAAATATTCATACTTATTACATGTCAAATAAATAAATACTTTCCAAATGCAAAAGAAGCAAAAAAAGTAGTTTTAATATTTCCCTCTGTCTCTTTTTTGTACTTCCGTGTTCTGTGACAACTCTAACATGATTATAAACATGCTAACAACAACAATAAGGACCATAACTACTGATAGAAATTTTTAAAGAGCACTCATGTTCTTAACTCCAAAGTAAATACTATTATTGTCCTCCTCTCACAGATAACAAAAGTGAAGATTAGAAGTAAGGGAACTGCTGATGATGAGCAGCTAGCACATGGGGAAATTTTTATTCAAATAAACGAGATATGAGTCTAAACTCAGGGCTTTTAAGCACTAAACTATATTATTCTCCATTAAAATAACTATAATGCTTTTAGGAACTATTCAAAGTAACCAGATCCAGTTTTAATGAAACAGATTATCACTGAAAATGATGATACATTCTAAGGAGACACAGTCAGCATGCAATTAATAAAAAGACATTACTAGCTTAAGAATTAATATAAAGACATTACTAGATTAAGAATAAAATTATTCGCTTGGATGTTCTGTATATACAATAACAAACACATTATTTATTATAATGGTAATCTTTACTATCTTAAACTTTGTAAGTTTGAGTTAAGTATATTGCTTTTACCACAGGTGTTTTCTGTTACATTAAACTGAAGTTTGGCAGTCATCAACTAGATGTAAGTTATAATTTGATTGTTTTGGATTTATGAATTTCATCTGTATTGCCTCTAAATGTATATTTGGAAAAATAAGCAAAAATATCCAAAAATATGTATCTTCACTGGAACACAATAAACTTTAACAGGAAACCTAGATATCTTGATATAATTAAATGATTCATTTTTCAATAAAAGTAAAAATAATCTTATTTGCTTTAGTAAAGAGTCAAATAACAGGAACATAAATCAACTTGAACAAATTTTAAAAAACCATTCTGAAGCTCTATATCTAGGAGGTTTTAAAGACTAATAGTACATTTATTTATTTATTTATTTATTTATTTATTTATTTATTTATTTATTTATTTATTTATTCCATGCCACATCACATATTTATAAGTGCTGTACTTAGGAACAATATTTATACATTCAACTGGGAAAAGTTCTATTACTAGACTGGCTTCAAAGATGCTGTTTATAAACAAACTATCAAAAGTTGAGAGAAAAGATTGAACATCTTATAGAAGACAATTTGGTAGAATGTCTTATAATGAGAAAGAAGCATATGTGCTTCAATGAGCTTACTTTTCTTGCCATGCAGCTGACAAGCAGCTCTTAGATTGCTTTAGCATTATGATACAACTCTGTATACAATAAAGGTTGCATTATTGCTCTATCACTTGTCAAGCTGTATAGAAAATTTTGAGTCAACGGGTGCCACCTGTAAGATATTTTCATTACCTGTTTATAAAGCAACTGCTCGTTTTCTCTAGCATAACAGAAAAGAACATCTGTAAGAATCTTTCTCACATTTTCTTGTTGGAAAAACTGCATTTCGGGAAACCTGAAAAAAGAAAACACAGGACTGAAACTGACTAGCACAATTTCAAGAATCACCCTGAAACTCTCATCTCAAAGAGGTGTTAAGGGCTGCTTCAGGTTTACAATTCTGTATTTGCCTTGCAACTTACACCATTGGTGGGATTAAAAAATGAATAATAAAAGGAGAATGATTATATCCCAGAGGTTAATGACATCCTTCAACATCTAAACATTTCAAAACTCTTCACATATTAAAAGTCACTGCATGTGTGAATACAAATTTTGAAAAATAATTTTAGCCTACATAGATTTGTTTTAGTCCATTTGGTTTTTAAAATTAGAATGTGAGTTTGTGACAGTACCTTTTCAAGAAATACATTGTCATTGTTTTTTTGTAAATTTCAGAATTTCAATTACATATGACCACATTATCAGTTTCATCTGATTAAAATGTAGATTTCAATTGGAACAAAAGTTAGTATACACTAGTTAAATGCTCTCTGGATCAAAAACTCTATCAGGTGCTTTGAAGTAATGCAAAATAGAAAAAGGGTAGAGAATCTTCTTAAAAGGAGTTCAAATAGTTGTTTATAATGCAAGAATATACAGCTCCAAGAACCCAAATGCAAACACACAACAATGCAATACACAACTATCTGTTGAAGTCTGAAGGTATGTCATCTTGGAATAAACAGGGAATTCTGAACAGAATTTTTGGGAGAGGAATGGCATGAAAGATCAGTGGGAGCAGTAAGTAAATCAGAAGGAAAGTGATGAAGGTACAGAAGACAGTGGGGATTTCAAGGGTGCAGGACAAAACTGTAACTAGTAATCAGGAGGAATGAAGTACTACCAGCAGGGAGAAAGAGCGTGGGGAAAAAATATGGGACATGTCTTTCTGGAAAGAGCTTTCAATGCTGAATTTAAAACTAAAATTCAGTGACTACATTTTTGAATAGGGAAATAAAAAAAGAAGAGTCTGTGGTTAACTAAGTAAAAATAAGTCAGAAAGAGAAGAGTTTCTAGGAAGGCTAAGTATGTTATAATGAAGGGAAATGAAAACTTTACAAACATAACAAAAGCCCATATTCAAATATGCTCCGCAAGTTCTAGTTATGTAATCTTGAGCAAATAATTGCCTAACTACCTCATCTACAACATTGATCTTGTAGATTGAGATGAGATCATGTGAAAACACCAAGAACAGCACCTGAGAAGCTGTAACCACTCAGGAACAAAGATCATTAACCAGTCTTTGAATAATGAAACTTTGTGAGCCGAAAAGTGAATTGGGGGATACTAGAACTAGAAAATAAGAGACAATGTTAGAGAATGAACAGGTGCCAATTTATGAAATTTCAAGATCTCCTTTTTAAGAGAAGCTACAACTTGTTCTCTAAATTCTGATGAAGAATCCATAGCATCAAATAGGCATAAGGCACAAAGACTGACAAAAGTTCTGAAAGAGAAATCAAAGTCTATGCTAGTACAGAAGTTAGAACAAGAACTGAAATTCAGAGAAGGTTTAGCTGAAAGAGCTGGGAGATTATCCAAACTCAGAAACTAATTAGCAATGAAACTGCCACAGAGAAACCGATACCTGTGCCAATGCATCTGAGCAGTCAGCAGACAGCAGTACTTTCTAACTCCTTCCTTTACCAGGTAGAAATGTCAGAGAAATCAATTTACGTAAAATTCCATGACTTCAGAATGACACAGAAGAACAAGGCTCAGAAGGTGGATGAACACGTTTAACAATAACATACTTCCTACATAAAAGTACTCAATGGTTGTATTTTCAAGGTGCAAAATAGAAGACACTGCATTTATAGGCATCAGATAAGAGAAAGTTAGTAACATTTCTAGGAATAGTAATTGGTTTTTGATGATATACTTCAAGTTTCAGAATACCCTCCCCTCCCATTTGACCTCTAGACTTTCCTTTTACCCCATGCCAGTTTGTGCCGATTCAGGATAAGTAATTTTGACATTAGGCTAACCCAGCTATTTCATTTGAAAGGCGAATTTGTTTTTGAAACAACAATAACAAAGAATATTAACCCAGTCTGGATTCGACAATTGCTAAGATTTTGAAAAACCATCAATGACTAAAATTTCATACAAAAAAGAAAGAATAGTAACTTCAGAAAAAATGAGGTTAAAGCAACAAAATGAGAATTGAAACTGTAAAGGCTTATGATTCTTTCAGCCCAAAATATTAGTAGGAAAATAAAAGGGAAAAATTCATACTACATATGAATTGAAGACAAATTGTGTGGTTATCAGACAATGAAAGTCCAAGAGAAGTCATTTTTGCATTTGCCTGGAAAATGAAAATGGAAGTGTGAAACAGGTGAGGGTAAAACTCTGAAATCACAGAAAAACAATGAAAAAGTAAGTTTTTCATCAAGAAATTTATACAAAAAAATCTAAGATATATATTTGGTGGAAAAAGTGATTATTTCAGTTTTAACTCTGTTGATCAATATTTAAAATTGTGGAGTTTCTCTTAGACATAATAGGGAATTTGATTGAATAAATCTGACATAGAAAAAATATAAAATCAACACACAAAAATCAGTAGTGCTTTTCTATGCTAACAATGAATTTTTAAAAAATCAAGAGAACAATCTGATTTATATTAGTTAACAAAAATACTTAGGAATAATAGGAGATAAAAGATTTATAAATTGAAAACTATAAAACCATTATGAAAGAAACTGAAGAAGGTAAAAATAAAAAATATCCTTTTTCCTGGATAAGAGGACTTAACATTGTTAATATGCCCATACCACCCAAAGCACTACAGACTCAATGAAATCCATATCAAATTCCCAATGATATTTAGAAAGTAAAATCCTAAAATTCATATGGAAACATGAAATAACCCAAATAGCAAAGATTATCAAGGATTACAACCCAAAGAGCCAAAAAAATAAAGCTGGATGTATCATACTGACTTCAAACTGTATACAAAGCAATGATAATTAAAGCAGCATGGCACTGGCATAAAAACACACATGTCAACCAATGGAACAGAGTAGAAAGCATAGAAATGAGCCAATTCATCTACAGTCAATTGATTTTTGACTAAAGTTCCAAGAATACACAATGTGAAAATGACAGTCTCCTCAATAATGTTGTTGCAAGAACTGGATATCCAAATGCAGAAGAATGAACTGGGACCCTTAACTTATTTACACCAACCATATAGGAAAAAAAAAATCAACTCAAAATGAATTAGACTTAAATATAAAACCAGAAACTGTGAAAATACTAGAAGGAAAATACAGGGGAAAAACTACATTGGTCTGGACACTGACTTTCTTACTTTGAACTAAGGAGCACAAGCAACAAAAGCAAAAATAGTCATAGGGGATTACATTAAAATAAAAACCTTCTGAGGTTGGGAGTATAACTTAGTAGTAGAGTACACACTTAGCATGCACAAGGCCCTGGGTCTAATCCCAGTAGTTGCTTACTAAATGAACAAATAAATAAAAATTTAAAAAATAAAAAATTTAATTTCTTAAAACCTCTGCTTAACAAATGAAATAAGAGAATTTTCTCCCACTGTGGAGTGGGAGAAAATATGTGAAAGCCATACATCTGAAAATGGATTAATATCCAAAATGTTTAATGAATTCTAACATCTCTATGAAAGAAAATAATCCAGTTAAAAACAAGACATTTATCAAAAGATGATATAATGGTTAACAGATAAATGGAAAATGTTCCATATCGCTTAACATTAAGGAGATAGGAATTACAATTAGGACCACAAATGTATTAAAATATAATTATTTAATCTATTAAAAATTCTGCAGTATGGAAAAGGTAATGAGATATCATAAAAGTACTGTGTATAATCTTGGCTTTCTATCTTAAACCAAAAGTGTTAGACAGTAGTGTTTTCAATATAGGTTTTAAAAATCTTCTGATGTAAACAGAGAAAAGAGCAGAATTAATCCGAATCTACCTACTACCTAATCAGTTTATATATATATAAACTGATTATATATGAGAAACTGATTATATATATATATATATGAAAACAATATATGTGTGTGTATATTACCTCCCTAGTACTCCATTATTTCGAAGATAATCCAGACAACATCACCATATCTATAATATTATGTTTATTTCTAAAAGATAAACAATTTTTAAACCACAGTATTATAACACTAACAAAAATAATAGATTAACTCAAACATCCAATGTTCAAATTTCTGTGATTTCCCAAGACATTTTAACACTTTATTCAAGATCTGAGAAATATCTATCAATGCACTGCAATTTATTAATGTCACTTAAAATTCCTTTACTTGATAGATTTGTCCTTTTCTTTTTCTTGCAATGAATTTATTAAAGAAACCAGGTACTTTAACCTGTAGAAACTTCCCATGTTCTGACTTTTATTTATCATATCTCCATTGGGGTATTTAATGTGTCACCCTTCCCCTGGATTTCCTATAAGTTGATGATTAAGTCTAGACAGTTAATCAGATTCAGGTTCAATTCAAAGAGATTCTTCATAGAGAGATAAGATGGTTGAAAATAGGTCACCAATTCTTTGACTCTCCTTCCCTGTGAAGGTAGAAGAATCTAACTTCCCTTCTTAGTGACCAGTTTCTCACAAACTAAATACAGCTAAAGTGATGCTGTGACATAGGTTTTATCTGGCTGTCTCTCTGAACCAAGCAAGCCACCATGTTGTGAGGAAGCCAAGCCTTGTCACATATAGCTTGTGGGAAGGATAAGTGGAGTGCTTCAGCCACAGCTTCAGAGGTCTCAATTCAGAGTCAGCTTCAATAGCCAGTCATGGTCATGAGCAGCCTCCAGATCACTGGAGCTTCTGAGTTTAAGGCTGCTCCAGATGGGGGAGAGCAATGAGCATTCCTGCTGAACTTGGCCCAAGTTATATATTCAGCAACACAAAGTCTGCTATTTTTTAAAGTTTTAGTTGGTAAATAATGTAGCGATAGATAACCAGAGCAGTTAGTGCTATATGCTTCCATC